GTCAGGGTCTAGTCACAGCTCAACTTAATGTGCGAAATGTTCATTGAGCGGGTTTAGCTCAGTTGGGAGAGCGTCAGACTGAAGTCAAACTTCATCAGTTCATCTGAAGGTCGTGTGTTCGATCCACACAAACCGCACACTTTTGCCGCTTGCGATGTCTTCAAGAGTCGCCGCGATGCCATCGCTTTTTGGGTCACGCCTTCAGAGCTTCTTCTCTTCCTCCAGTCCCACATAGAACTTCCTATCAAACTTGCACATATCGGCAAACGTACAGAACTCCGGCGCGCCCAACTCAAACTCCTTCGGACCCCATGCCAACACGCGCGTCACCAACCCCTTCAACTCCCGTTCCTGCTCCTCCGTCAGCCGTCTCAGTAGATACGCGATGCTTATATGCAGCCCGTAGTTGTCGTGGTTCGGCATCTTCAACTTCAGCCTCTCGGCCAGGAGATCTCGTAGTCTCCTTAGGCGCCTCTCCTCGTCCTGTGTCCTCGCCTCCAGATGAATACCAATCCCAACCTCTAATGGATCCAGCCCGTTGATCATCATCAGATACGGTGGTCCGTCATCCTCCAAACTGAAGTCGGATAGCCTACGTGAGAAGTCCTCCGTGACCTCGTCAAGCGGGGCATTCTGGGCCAGATCTCGAGGCCAATGCTCCGCATCACGGACCTGGTCGCAGACGCCTTCGAAAATGGTCATGTGCCAGCTTGGCGGCGGCAACAACGTGTAGAGATGGGACATGGACGAGGTACGGAGGGCCTCGTGGAGTTGGAGGAGGTAGGTGTAGGTTGCGCTGGTGGGGGAGAGGTGCATGAGAAGGGTGTTCCCTGCGAATGGGAGGGGCTTTCCGTCGGGAGAGAACTTCCCGCCCGACACACCGGGAGGGTAATCGGATGATGAGGATGAAGACATCGTCGGACCGTTGTAAAGTGTATCGGCTAGGGAAAGTCAATCTGATGGGGTTGGTTTGTTTTGAGAATGGGCCCCACGGTCTTGGCTTCGGATTTTGTTGATGTTGTGTGACGTGATGTTGATACCCTGTGGTCAATCGCTTATTCATATAATTATCACAGCTCAGACCTGGTGCGCATCGCCCTCTGTGTACTACTCCTGCAGAAAGGAATGGACATGTCGTGAAGGCCGACATTTCGACGATTGAACGGATTAGGAACCGCTGACCATTGTCGGCATCAAGAGGCAGGCCCTGGGCCATGAAGATACAGGCCTGTCCATACCATCACTTATCTGGTCTCTACTTATATATAACCTTCAAAACTTGCACAAAACCCTCAAAAGATCTTGATGAGATATCTTGCTCCTTAGCATTGACAGGAAAACCTGGTCGTCAAGTCAAACACGGCGCATTTCTCGGATGTCCTCAAGCCAGATGGTCTAGACTAAGCCTGAGGGTGGTGTAGGGTGGGAACCTTCTACGTGGTCGACTTGTGAAGAGTGTGGGCAGCATAGCTTTGAGCGGCTGGAGGGACGTGTTAAAGAATCCACCCTCCAGCCACTGGTGAAAAGTTGGCGAAGTCCTGTACCTCGACTTGCACGCACGCACATAGCCGCTTGTGGGAGCGTTTGAATGTTGCCGCGATTAGCTGATCGGGTGATTGTCCCTGCATCGGTGCTAGGAAGAGTTGAACAAAAGACTCCTCATGTGGTGGCCATGACCTTGCATAGGACACGCTGCAGCACACGCTGCAGCATTCGACCTGTGTGGTTCGTCGAGAAGTAGGTACCATATCCATTCAATTCTCAAGAGATAAGGTCTACATGCCTGCTTCAGGAGAGAGAGATGAACTTAAATGATGGTGTGCAAGCAGCGCCTATGCGTAGTATTCATCCTCCTTGATGATAGAAGTGGTAACGTTACGGTACAGCTTCGACCACATTCACCCTACAAGCAGAATGATACAGCATAGACGGCAGTCGATTCTGAATTCCGGCTGGACGAATGACAAGGAAGATCGACGACATATCAACCGGGGTGGTGGTATCTGAAATGCGATCGAGAAGTGTCCAAAGCCTTTAGCTGCGGCCGTGGGACATCCGTAGTGTTCTTGGATAGATGTTGGTGCGTTCTAACAAGCATTTGAAAAACCAGGAGCAATTACCGACACGTGTGTTCTGCAGCGGGCATCGGTCCCCTAGACCTAGGCGGTTTAGTGGTCGCATGCCCTGTAGTGCGCTACGATAGCCAATTGGTCAACCCCCAGACACATCTAGTCCAGAAGTGGAAGTTAGCGATGCAAGGGATGCTTCAAGTACCGTCCAATCCCACCTCCTTCCCGCCTTCAGATGAAATTTGACCGAGATTTGTATCGTTCTAGGACTTGCTCCATGACGATGAGGCTCTTCAGATCTTGTGTTCCTGAGATGAAGCAGGGAAAATATCGACTACGCATCATTTGCCGTTGGACGAATAACAAGCCGTGTTCCATCAATGTACGTGGCGCGTCTTAGATCTGAATGCTCTCCGAAAGTGGAACAAAATTTGGGTGTAAGTGCTGGAATGTGCCGCGCAAGCAGCTGTGACAGCCGGAGTGGCGTCTCGAAGGGTTTCCCATCATCGGCGCATGGGGTCGAGGTAGCGTGCGTGCTTGACAAGCCATGAGTCTCACAACAAACGACTTCCCACGGAACCGACCCTTCAGTCAGCCCAACGGAGATTACGACCAGATGCCATCACATGGCTGGGCCAGGGGCCTTTCCATCCCTGGTCGTCAGTGGTACTCTCCTCCACCGAGCATCTGGTTGTGTAGCTGAGGTGCACTTTGACACCTAGAACGGCGGTCCAGTCATGACCCGTGTCGAGGTCACGTAGCTATTGCAACCCTGCACTTCTACCCATCAAGCCGGGTTACGTGCCCCTGAAGCTATCAGCGCCCACACACGCCACGATGCATTCCTCACTTTGGAGTCGCGAGCAACGTCGCAAGCTGCGCGTCGGCCCGCCTGCTGGGTGGGAGAGGACCAGGCCAAGGCAAGGCAAACCGTGACATTGGGACGACGGCAGAAAAAGAGGCTGGGAGGACAGCTATATAAACCGCCATGCCCTACGCCACGAGGTAAGTTGAAGCTGAGCATCTCCAGACCATCAGGTAGGTTCCGTTCTTTGGCAGCAGCCATAGTCACTCTTTGGCAGTATAGCCGTCTTTCTTCTTCAGTCGTTCTCTTTTCAGGACACTCCTTTTCAGGAACCACAGTCATTTCTTCAGTCATTTTATCGACTTGGCACTCATTCACCATGTTCTCAAAGACACTCACTGTTGCAGGCATTGCCTCTCTCGTCCCGCAGGTCTGGGCCGGCTTTAACTCCGCAGCCAACGACAACATCGCCGTATACTGGGGCCAGAACTCCTACGGCCAGGCTAGCTCGCAGCAACGCCTTGCGACATACTGTGCCAGTAAGTAAAGCTACTCTTTGAAAAGGGGTTAATATAGTCCGCCATATCAAGTGCTAACTGTACCTGCAGATGCGGATATTGACGTGAGTATTTCAGCGTGCATGTCACTTAACGGCATGTTCACGGAAAGGATAGCAAGGCTCACTGAAACGTAGATCGTTCCCCTGGCTTTCTTGAACGTGATCGTCAACCCGACCACGGTCAACTTCGCCAGTGCAGGAGACAAATGCACCGCCTTCCCAGGGTCCACCCTGCTCAGTTGCCCTGAGCTCGAAGCCGACATCAAGACATGCCAAAACACATACGGCAAGACCATCATGCTTTCCATCGGTGGCGCCACCTACACAGAAGGCGGCTTCGCCTCCGCTTCGGCCGCTCAGACGGCAGCAGACAACATCTGGGCCATGTTCGGTCCCCAGCAGTCCGGCAGCACCGTGAACCGTCCATTCGGCACCGCGGTCGTTGACGGCTTTGATTTCGACCTAGAGGCCGGTAACCAAAACTTCGTGCCGTTCGGCCAGCGCCTGCGCGCCAACATGGACGCCGCCTCGTCCAAGAAGTTCTACCTTTCCGCTGCACCACAATGCGTCTATCCCGACGCAGCCATGGACGCCATGCTCATCGGCCAGGTCTCCTTTGACTTCCTCAACATCCAGTTCTACAACAACTGGTGCGGCGTGAACAACTTCACCCCCGGCACATCCACCCAAAACGCCTTCAACTTCGACGTCTGGGACAACTGGGCGAAGACCGTCAGCAAGAACAAGAACGTCAAGCTTCTTCTCGGCATCCCGGCCAACAGCGGGGCGGCCGGCAGCGGATACGTGACGGGCACGCAGCTGTCCGCCGTCATCAGCTACTCCAAGCAGTTCTCCAGCTTCGGGGGCGTCATGATGTGGGATATGTCCCAGCTGTACGCGAACAACGGCTACTTGGCCGCAGTCACTGCTGCTCTTGCCGGTGGCGGCAGCGGCTCGACCCCCGCTCCTCCTGTTACCACTACCTCCAAGCCGGTCACCACTACTACACCAACTGCCAAGCCGACCACATTCAGTACCGTTACGCGAACGACGACCACGGCTGCTGCTTCGCCAACCGGCAGCTTGGTCTCCCAGTGGGGTCAGTGTGGCGGTCAGGGCTACACCGGCCCGACCCAGTGCAAGTCTCCTTATAGCTGCTTCTGCACGGGAGCTTGGTGGTGCCAGTGTCAGTAAATGCACAATACTCGTTGCCTGGTTAGCAGCTTTCGCTTCGATGTATCTAGCTTTGGTTCACCTGTTGGATACAGCCTGTCGTGTTTGGGTACATTAATTCTTTTGTCGACGCGTTTCGAGCATGTTGGGGTTTCTGACGAGTTTGATGACAAGACGTGGGATCTCCTGTATATATCTGCACTTTCCCGGTCGTTACCTCTTGAATATATCTCTCAGTTTGAATAATCTGTTGCGCACTCAATAAGGACGATGAGAAATTAAGTTGACCACATCATCTGCCCAGCACAAACCTTGGCACCACCTCTTTACCAGACCTCATTCATTACTAGATACGCAACATGATTACACTATCTGCTCAATTTGAGCAACCAAAGGTTCTGTGGTCTAGTGGTTATGACTGTTCGTTGTGGAATGTCTTGTCCGATTCCGAACCAGCCCGTGTTCGATTCACGGCAGAGCCAGCTTTTTGCAGTTTGTTTTACTGGCGCGCGATTGACGTTACCTAAGCAGCCTACCAATAGTGCCTGCTGTCTATCTTCAAAGTCATTTAATTTATCTACCACATCGCATCCTGGATCAGTTATCTGATATCTGTCATCGAAGTATACCAGTGGTATCACTTTTAAGCTACCACAATGAATCCTCTTCAAGCCCCGGCACTCCCAGCGCCGGGCCACACGCGGACGCGATCCGGCGTCAGACGTGAGTACACAGCTGCATCAGGTCGGGACTTACATGAGCGCTCACTTACACAACACAGCAACACGACCTCGTTCATCAACCAAAGGACCTCTCGACATAGACGAGTAAGTCAACCCTCACACCCCTCCTTAACATACTACTAACACCTCTGTAGCACCCCTCTACCCACCCCTCAGTCTCCAGCCCTCCTATCACCATCGCGCAAACCTCAATCACCACTCATCCGCTCACCAGCCCTGTCCCCCTCCCGGCCGCAACGCGACCTAACCCCCCCCTCCCCCCCGTCAACCCCCCTCCCCCCCCCCCCCCCCCCCCTCCCTCCCTCCCCCCCCCCCCCACCACACCCCCTCCCCCCCCCCCACCTCCCCCCCCCACCCCCCC